AGTACACAGATAGTATACACAAAAAAAAAATGATTTGCACGAGTTATTAGAGAAGGGCAATTTTAAAATCAAAAGAAATAAAGTCAAACCTAAGAGTTTATAATGTCTATAATGTTTTGAAGCAATGTCTTAATTACTGCTTGTGCTAAGAGGGATTCTTAATTAAGACCATTTAACAACTGGTTATATTATTAGTTATAAAAAGATTGTTGACAGGTTATATGACCCTATATAAGTGGTTGTTTGTAAATATAACCAGAGCCGTTAGGCAAGGGTTATATTGCAAACAGTAGTTTATATACGGCCATATTACCTGTCAACAATCTTTGTAACAAATTTATAATACAGCAAGCATTTTTTTTTAGAGAAAAAAGTAAGATGCTTTTATGAATCGACAGCAGCTGTGTATATAAAACTATATAAACATCAGGATTATCCAATGAAAAGCAACGTTACAAACGTGCAGTATTATAAACATTCATAAAGATTTAAAAGTAGATCAAAAGTTTTCCGAATTTACTGGCTATAGGGTCAAATGAACTGCTGAATGTCTGTAATAGCTTTGCCCTGATTTGTATTTGGAAAAGTTAATCAAATCAATCAATTAATCAATCAATATACAGGTACTAAAATTGAGCTGTCCACAGTACAGAACCTGAACTGAGTGCACAGGTGTTCAGGCTGGCCTGGATCTATACTTGTGGCAAGAACTGATCATTTTCTGTTCCAACATGTCAAGGGTTAAAGACTTAATTCATAGATTGCCACAGAATTAAAACTGGATGTTTATAATATTAAAACATGGTCCTCTTCAAATTTGGTCTTATCCTGAATTTGTGATATAGAGTTTAATATGGACTTCTTTTAGGCAAATTCTACATTGTATGTGGAAACAATCATATTATATTACTCTTAAGCTATGTTTTTGCTATTTCATTGTTTCAAGGCAGTGTCATTCCATGGTTCTTTTTTCAGTATGTCATTTGCGTCAATGGTTTGTTTGGGGATTCTAACAATGGTCTTGGTTCCTGCCACTTTGTCCATTCCCTTCAAAGTGTGTCTTTAGTTTGTATAGTTAGAGATTACACCCCCACCTCCCTCTCTTTAATTTGGTCCCATATCCCCTTCCGTTCTTTTATCTTTAATTATACTTTTATGATATACTATTGTAGTTCTCTAATCCATTCACAATAATAATATGGTTTTTGAAAATGTAAGATGCTTGTACCATGAAGAAAATGGTGATAAATGTAATATAATTTGTCATAAAAGTAGCAAAATGTAATCAAAGCATTGGCAGTATTGACTTCCACAAAGAATATTAATTCACTGTAACTGTAACTTCTTTCAAAATTGCAAAAGATGAAAAAGATTGATCAGGTAATTTTCCATGAGTAACTTTCTTGATAAGAAACTAAAGATAAGAACACTAAAATTTAGAAGCTTTTGAGAAATAAAAATAAAAGCAATTCTGAAGCGTTATGGGTCTGAGCTAGGTGGCCTTGACATACCTTCCATGAACATACTTTGTGCCTGCAACAAATTCAGTTTTGCTACTATGAGCATTAACTGGAGATATTCTGAATTAGATCTACATGTACTTGCATTATTTTTCAAAATATGGAAACATTTTTCTGCCCTGTAAAAATAAGTGCGGCGCTAATTTTCAATCCATAAGGGGCCAAATCTGTCCACCTTGTCATTTTTTAAACTGTATGTGTTATTGGAGTCGGGGGCGGGGGGGGGGGGGGGGGATGAAAGTTATTTCATTTACTTAATATCAAACAATTGCTGATTGTGGCAGTGGATCTTTTTCATTTATTGGAATTAATTTATGAGATTGAACTATATTGTAATATACATTTAAATATATTTCATGAAGATAATATGTGATGATATAAAATCACAATTTAGTTGGGTTTTTTACCAATATTTAAGGTTTATTTAGATATATCAAAACAAAAAATCTTTTCTACTGTCTTTATATCCTTCTTTTCATGTGATGATTCAAATAAAACAAACAGAATGCTAATTTACTTCCATTGCAATATCAGAATTTTCAGCGCAAAATGGTTGTAACTTGAGATACAACCATTTTGCGCTGAAAATTAAGAGCAATTTGAGATACAACCTTTTGACAAATATTGATTTAACTTGTTAATTTTCAGAATCCATTTAAAATACTCACTGAGGATATGCATAACCACAAAATACATTGAAAATGTTAAAAATGTTATTTTGTGGAAAAAAGTGAGTTACAACCGTTTTGCGCTAAGCCCACGATACATCAAAGTATTCCTAGAAACACCTGTACCTTGGAGTAATGCTCTGAACGTCTGTACTTAAAAGTATTGCTTGAAACAGTTACAAGTATATTAGAATGTATTGAAAGTATTGCCAGAAACATCTGTATATTAGAATGTAATGAAAGTATTGTTAGAAACATATGTATATTAGAATGTAATGAAAGTATTGCCAGAAACATCTGTGTATTAGAATGTAATGAAAGTATTGCTAGAAAAAACTGTATATTACACTGAATGAAAGTATTGCTAGAAACAGCTGTATATTAGAATGTAATGAAAGTATTGCTAGAAACATCTGTAATATATGTTATTTTGGTTTTGGAGTGATATATGTGGATATATTACCTGCTAAGATTTTATATCACACGAGCCGTTAGGCGAAGGTGATATTTTATCTTGGCAGGTAATATATCCACATATATCACTCCAAAACAAAAATAATAATTTTATTACCCTTCCCCTGCCGAGTTTAGACGATTTTTAAAAAAATCATTGCTGTTTCAAATGAAACGTCGAAATAAGATTCCCTTTAGGGTACCTCTTCGTCACAACATGACGTCCCATAAATACAGGACGTATTCTTCCCATACCTAACGAATGTAAACAAGAGAAAAGGAGTAGTCTATTGAACGCACTTTTTTGTAATTAATATCAAGCTTTCACAAGGTCATATTTGTTTTCGATACTGATGGTAATATGTATCATTACTCTACGTTGGTAAATATTCATCATTTGACAGTTAAAAAGTGCTCGTAAATCGGAATTTACACCGCGTAAAATAGAACCGTACGCGCATCACTTCAGCGCATGTTGTTTAGAATGTTGGGTACCCAACGGGGGAAATTTAGTGTGTATATTACCCGTCTGGCTCGGTTATATCAATTTCTTTCGGGTGATCAATATCCAATCAAAAAGGTGGAAAAAATCTGGAAGGGTAATAAATTAGAATGTAATGAAAGTATTGCTAGAAACATCTGTGAAGTAGAATGTAATGAAAGTATTGCTAGAAACATCTGTGTATTAGAATGTAATGAAAGTATTGCTAGAAAAAACTGTTTATTAGAATCAGGGCTGCCAACAGCAAATTTCAAAATCAGTGGAAAATACGCCATGGGTCAAGGGGGCTGCGCAAGCCCCCTTTGCAGGTCCAGGGCAGAGCCCTGGTGGGGGTTCATGGGGCGAAGCCCCCGAAAGCTCCTGGATTCTGATGATTTGGTATGCCCTAAAATCAATTTCCTGGACTCTAAATTTGACAAATATCCGACATTTTGACGCATTTTGACAACAGACAAGAGCGACAATGTAAAATGTAATTTGATTGGTTATTCTAAAATAGAATGCCGGAAAAGACTCGATATGACCAATGAGAAAAGTGCTTACAGACGTACCATAGGCGGTTAGCATAACAATAAAAGCCGAAGCGTGCCGGTTTTTGGGTACTGTATAAAATATGACGAATGAATTTATTGTCTTTGTTGAATTTACATCGATCTTAAAAATGACCCAGCTCACGAAATCTGCGGATTTCCGCGGATCCGCGGAAAATTGGCAGCCCTGTAGAATGTAATGAAAGTATAGCTAGAAACCTCTGTATATATGAATGTAATGAAAGTATTGCTAGAAACATCTGTGTAGTAGAATGTAATGCAAGTATTGCTAGAAACATCTGTATATTATAAAATGTAATGAAAGTATTGCTAGGAACCTCTGTATATATTACAATGTAATGAAAGTATTACTAGAAACATCTGTGTAGTAGAATGTAATGAAAGTATTGCTAGAAACATCTGTGAAGTAGAATGTAATGAAAGAATTGCTAGAAACATCTGTGAAGTAGAATGTAATCAAAGTATTGCTAGAAACATCTGTGAAGTAGAATGTAATGAAAGTATTGCTAGAACATCTGTGCGTTAGAATGTAATGAAAGTATTGCTAGAAACATCTGTGTAGTAGAATGTAATGAAAGAATTGCTAGAAACATCTGTGAAGTAGAATGTAATCAAAGTATTGCTAGAAACGTCTGTGTATTAGAATGTAATGAAAGTATTGCTAGAAACATCTGTGTAGTAGAATGTAATGCAAGTATTGATAGAAACATCTGTACATTAGAATGTAATGAAAGTATTGCTAGGAACATCTGTACATTAGAATGTAATGAAAGTATTGCTAGAAACATCTGTGTATTAAAAAGTAATGAAAGTATAGCTAGGAACATCTGTATATTAAAATGTAATGAAATTATTGCTAAGAACATCTGTGTATTTGAATGTAACGAAAGTTTAGCTAGGAACATCTGTATATTAAAATGTAATGAAATTATTGCTAGGAACATCTGTGTATTTGAATATAACAAAAGTTTAGCTAGGAACATCTGTATATTAAAATGCAATGAAATTATTGCTAGGAACATCTGTATAAAAGAATATAATGAAAGTATTGCTAGGAACATCTGTGTATTAAAATGTAATGAAAGTATTGCTAAAATAAGCACCTGTAACTTGACCTGCCAGAGATATAAACAAAGCTGGATTATGAATTATAATGGTCGTAGGTCAATGAGCTACTTTTAACATAGTATCTAACAGCAGTATTATTTTTGCAATCACATTATTCATTGTGGTTCTATTAATTTTCATCTGCAGGTAAGGCTTTTGTTGGAAAATACAAATATATAACCTAAACAATCAACATTGATTATATTCAAAATTTTATTGATTTTTTGCACAAATTTACACAATGTAGTATAAAGTGAACATTTTTTTTACATATATCCAACACGCACCCCATTGTCCAGTTAAAAAATAAGTCCGGACAAACTTTTGCAACATGTTTTACTTTACAACAAATTTTACATAAACCAATGCAGCATAAAAAACATGCTCATGAAACAATGTCATTTCTTAAAATGCTTTGTTCTGATATACTGTATGTACCTCATCAAGAAAATAACACCTAATTATAATTACAATTATCAAATTTAAAGTGGCATGTCTCCAGATTGCTGCTTATTTTCATTAAAAAATTTTAAAATGTATAGAAAAGTAAAATATTGCGAAGATAATAAAGAAAATTATATTACACACTGCAAACGGCACTTACAACCAATGTATATGACCAAAATATGCAAAAATAGCCATTTAGATATGGTGAAAAATACTACAAAATTGGTCTTTTACCAGAAATAACACGGAAATTATTATAATTATTTCGAATCTTTTTTTTTACTTTTCCCACAATCATTACATTATTCTAAAGATCGATAATCTTACGTATTTTTCTCATCTGGAGGCATGCGGCTTTAAACTACTTGAATGAAATTTTACACATTGGTTTACAATAGTCCAAGAGCCTTAAATAAATTGTGTATCATTTAAATAACATTTGGTGCATAAGTATTCAATTAACATAAACAAATACATGTATTGTAATGAACGAAAAATTAACTTGTATATCCTATGCTCACAGAGCAATTATTGTTGAAGTACCATAGAAATATTAGTGCTATTATTACTGATATACTACATTTAAACATGACTGGACATTCAATCTATCAATGACATCTATTACTGACACATTTATTTGAAACTTATAGAAGAAAACTTTTAACATGTTTAAAGGGACTCCACCGAGTTTCCCCCCCCCCCCCCCCAAGACTGGACATTTTTTTTCTTTTCTTTTTTTTTGAGATTGATGTTTCATTTTATGTAGGTCTACACAAATAACTTGTCTTGCTGGTAAGTCAACATTCATTCTCTCAAGTATTTTTATCCACAAAGTTACACTGGCAAATCTCAAAGTTATCTTATATCAAAACACAGATAGGCAAAATACCACAGCAGAATATTAAGAAAACAATAAACAGATTAGCTTTAAAATTTGAAAAACTTCGGCACACTGGTATCCTCTGACATCCACAAGACTTCAACATTCAAGTAAATGTTCAGTAAAAATAATCATATGCTGTAACTACTTATGAATATCAACAAAAACATACAATTCTATTAACTGGCACATCTGAAAATCTTAATTCTAAAGCCCTGTAACCTGCATTTATAAAACATGTCCAGACGGATGTAAAGCCCTGTAACCTGCATTTATTAAACATGTCCAGACGGATGTAAAGCCCTGTAACCTGCATTTATAAAACATGTCCAGACGGATGTAAAGCCCTGTAACCTGCATTTATTAAACATGTCCAGACGGATGTAAAGCCCTGTAACCTGCATTTATTAAACATGTCCAGACGGATGTAAAGCCCTGTAACCTGCATTTATAAAACATGTCCAGACGGATGATCAATATAGTATTGGTTTTCTTTAAAATGTCAAGGTTACAATATATTGATTAGTTTTACGATATTATTATTACATCTTGTCATTTTAATACTTCCAAGTCCTTTATTAAAGAACCATTACCAAACTATCAGCACAAATTATTAAAGAAACCAAACTAAAATAACAGCAGGGCAAAATGGTTGTTATATACCATACCATTGTCAGGTTCTGATATCAGCAAAGTTTTAATAACTTGTATTATAATGTTTTGGTCTAATAATGAATACAAAAAAGATTACTCATTAGACAATGAATTCATGTACAACATAAAGATCCTGTAACTCAATTTTTTTAATGGTTTTATAGCATAACTATGACGCTTAAATGAAGATATTTCAATATTAAGTTCCAAAAATGCATCATTTGTAAAGATATTACAGAATTTTCTTTCATGTAAATAAAGGGAGGTAATTAGAAGTCAAAGTCTATGCCAAACTTTTCAGTAAGAAATGAATGCATATATTTTAATGGTTAGTTATAATGTGAATAAACATTTGCAGAACATATTTAGCATATTCTTGGATGTTTGAAAATTGTTTTAGAAGAATAATTATATACATATATTAAAATTTCACTATGTATTGTTACATGTACATCCTTAATTACAACATACAGGATCTTTAAATGATAAAAAATATATTTACAGATCAAATCCATCATCGGTTTTCACTACAATACTTTCCAGAAGAATAGTTCTTGTTTTCATCTGGAAGTAAAATAATTCTTACTGCACAGCACCTTCCTGTATATATACAGGCTGGTAAATGGAAAATTTGCCCCCTAGAAATTTGACAACCCGCCCCCCTTTTTTGATAAGGTCTGTATTGTACGGTTTGACATTATCACACAATCTGTTTTGGAGCCATAAATATTTGCCTCGCTACTTCTTATGTATCACCCCCCATGACATAAGTAAGTAACAAATAAAATTCACTTTAGTGAAAAGCCCCGCATAAAAAATATAAACAAAAAATTTTCTGGGTTTTCTACGCAAAGAAAGAAAAAAAAGAGAAAAAAATGAAGAATTAGATTTTGAATAATCTTGTTCCATGAATAAATGTTCAAATTTTCAAATTGATAAAAAAAACAACAACAAAAAATTTCAAGAGACATTGCATCTTAAGTCAGAATAATTTTATAACATGTAATAATAAAATCAACAAGTTATAAATAACTTAAAGTATGGTGAGTCATTAATGTGATGCACACTGTACACGTTGTCCTCCCATACCCTCCTCATCCTCGTCGTAAGCCTCGCCACGACGATGCTGTGCCCTCGCGTCGTATTCCACCAGCGTGTGTTCCTCAGCTCCGTCTGGAATTATTACTTCTTGACGTTTTGGTAAACATGACTCGAGCTCAGCTAGTTTTTTATGTTGTATAGATCCCGCTTCAGGAAATATTACGTTGAATTTGATAATCAAACGTCCTCGTGTAAATGGGTCGCGATGTAAAGGCATTCCTTCATTCAAAACACATTTGATGTCATTTGGCTTCACAACTTCACCTGCAGACAGAATAAATTTATATCTATGTATTTAAATTTCCTTCTTTAGACAGTCTCGTTAAAAATTTGATGTATCAAAATCATATTGGCATAAAGTGTTAGCCACAAATGTAGGTAAAATGACTTTTTTCCACTTTAAACAGACTTTATTTTGGGTATGTGATAGATAGAATATTAAACTTGTGTAAGTTTATTACTGAATTTATTGACCTTGTTGAATAAAATAATAATATGCTTGCCAGAGGCTCGCACGATATTATTTTATTCAAATCATTCAATAAATTCAGTATTGAACAAGTTCATTACAGAATTTATTGAATAAAATAATAATATGCTCGCCAGAGGCTCACATCATATTATTTTATTCAACTAGTGCAATAAATTCAGTATTGAACTTACACTCATTCAATATACTCTATGTGATTAAAATTACAATTGCAGAATAGTTGAGCAACTAAATATTTCACTGAAATTTTGTTTTCTGCAAGGATGAAAATTCTCAAAGAATTTTGCATATCTTTTCCAAAATGTTGTACCATTAATTGCGTGTTAAAGATTTTTATATCTAAATTTCCTCACCTGGCAAGTTTGTTATAACCAACGTTCTTTTATCCAATGTTTCTATAGTTTTCTGGAAACCACACAGTGCCTCGACTAACAATAAGTCCATCTCCATAATCAAGTCAAGCCCATTACGTCTGAATGTATTGTGCTCCTTTTCATCCAATACAATGATAATATCTCCGGGTTCGAGACCCGGCTCTTGGTCCCCTTCTCCAGCAAATCGGATATTTTCACCATCTTTCATACCTGTAATACACATGTACATATGTCTCTTTAATTGTTAAAAGAAAAAAACACACACACACACACACCAAGTTCTATAATTAGAATTGAACAGCCATGTTTGTTTGTTGGAATTCAAGTCACACAATTATTGTAAAAGGTCATATGGCAACTTTCCAGCCTTGGTGGATTACATTTATAAGAAGGGGTGTCATGTTCATACGTTTAACATACATGTGAACTCTCCCACTTTTAGCGGGAGACTCCCACTTTCTGCAGCCATATTTTCAAAGAATTTTCTGAAAATAAGGGGTATTTTCACAAATTAAAGAAATATCCCTCTTTTAATATCAGAACTTTCTTCTTTGTTTATTGCAAATTTTACAATCTTTTTGCATTAAACTCTCCCACTTGATCATTGAAAAAAACTCCATAACTCTCATACATGGGGGTCCATAGGCCTTAATTGCCAATAAATAAGTCGCCCTAAATCGCCAATGGAAAATCCCAAGAAAGCTTCATGACACTACTCAAACCTCTAGCTCCTGTGAGACAAGTGATCTGAAATTAGTTAAACCTACACAGAAGATTTAATTTATAGATTAGTATAAAAATCTCAAGTCCCTGGTGGGTCAGTGAAAGGTAAGAGGTTTAAAATCCTGGCCTTAACAAAACAGATATTTTGTTTAATTGGGTTTTACGTCACACCGACCATTATAGGTCATATGGCAACGTTCCAGCTTTACTGGTGGAGGAAGACCTCGGGTGCCCTTCTGTGCATTATTTTAGGCAAGAAAGGGCACCCAAGTAGAACCACCAACATTTTGTTAGCTAGCTGGATAGAAACCTCACTTGAAAGAATGCAAAGTCCCTGTCAGGATTCGAACCCACAGCAGTGAGGGGGCAAGTGATACCGGTACAGAAGCAATATGAATATACAGTAAACATATTTATATTCATATAAAATTACAAGTTTACCTTTGTCAACATGGACTTCTAATATTTTGTGGTCATCAACAGTCTTCTTGCCAAGACAAGTCTTGCATCTTAGTTTCGGATTTATTGTCTCCCCTTTGCCTGAACATTCCGAGCACACAGACTGCATTTGTTGTACCATGCCGGGTCCCAGCTGTCTTATATGTACCTGCATACCTGTTCCCTTACAGTTTCCACATTTTTCTACAGCTCCCTCTTTCCCACCCTTACCTTTATTTATGGAGAAAAATGTGAAACATGAAATACATGAAAGCACCATAAACCTTACCCGCTGAAGTTACATTCAAAATGAGTTTTTGAAAAGGAAATACTAATATATATATAACAACTAAAAGAATTCAAGTTTTATTAACAGAACTAAGCTGCAAATCAGGTCTGTTCAGCAAAAGCATGGATGCTCGCAAAATTCATCCAATCAGTGTATGATTTATTGAGAGTAAGTTTATTTATATCAACTTAGTCATTTCATGGGACCACATGAAGATGCCATGGAATTTTTTTTGATTGCCTTTTTTTCCTAAATATTCACAGGAATTTGTGTGATCGATTTGCCTTTCTAGTAAACTAAAGAACTCTAGTTATTGTCTGGAAACCATTTGCTATTTTTAGTATCGGTGACCTTGACCAAAGGGGGTCTAAATGCAACACCAACTGGGGTCTTCATATAAGCTTGCTATACACCAAATTTGATTAGAATTTCTCATTCCTAACCGTAGTTACTGTCTCGAAACCATTTTTCTATTTTCAGTAATGGTGACCTTGACCCTTGGGGGTCCAAATGCAATACAAACTGGGATTTCCTCATAAGGTTGCTATATACCAAGTTTGATTACAAAACCTAATTCCAAACTCGAGTTATTATCCAGATGGACTGACAGACATACCGACTGACAAACTGACCCCTATGTACCCCCTGGTATAAAAATGCCAGTTTTTTTAATGACATTATGCGTTCATATTGAGATTACCAATAGGTTGTACAGTATAGAATGGAAAATTTCTTCTCCGTGTTTACACAAAAGCTGTTTGTCTAACATTTACCAAGAGACAGTATAGCAGTTATCTGTGTTTTCAAATATCAAATATGAGCGTAATATATCTTTAAAGTTCTAAACTTAGCAAATAGCATCAACCAATTTCTGTCAAAAACAAACATTAACTGAATACAAACCTTCACATTTCGCACAGATAACTTTTTTCTTCAAGGACAATTTTCTAGTTGTGCCATTGTATAAGTCTTCTAAAGATACTTTAAGTTGGTGTATAACATCCTTGCCCTTCTGTGGGCCTCGCGACCTTCCGCGACTCCCACCCCCAAAAAACATATCAAATATATCCATAGGTGAATGAAAGTCAAAGCCACTGCCGGTTCCGCCACCTGAAAACAAATAGATAAAAAATGTCAAATTTTACAGTGTTACAGACAGTTAAACATTATCCTGTTGATAATTCTTATATAAATCTTGCCCAGCCTCTTTTAAAGGCACATTATGCCTCACTAACAAGAAACTTTTTCTTTCTTTATGAAAGGGCACTGCAGACAGAAGTTGTATAATGTAAAAACAAAAATTGTTTTAGAGCATGTTATATGCTTATTGTTTGATTAAAGTAGTGATGAATATAAAATTATTTGTAACAATAGTAACAAAATGTAAACAATAGTAGTATTTAGATACAAGCGGAACTTTTTACATCTGTTTATGCTTTAATTTGTATCTCCTACAACACAACATTGTAGTGACTGGCCGAATTAGATTTAAATGAGGTGTTAACTAACCTTTAATGGCTTCCTCCCCACCTTTGTCATATGTTTCTCTTTTCTTTACATCAGACAAGACCTCGTAGGCTTGACTTATATGTTTGAACTGTAAACACATAATATATTTTAATAGAGTACATGTAGCTACATTTTAAACAGGAAAAAAATTTAAAAGAATAGCTTCATGTTGAATATAATCATGGCTTTTTCTTGCAAAATATTTGCTTAATTTTAGGGAAAATTAACATGTTAATTTTTTCCAAAAAGGGGAATACATGAAAAATTGATTTTACCAGAGTTTCAGGGGAAAAAACTGCTTGATATTATTATTTTTTTCCTGTAGGAAAGACACCTAATAGATGGTCCCTGCTATAAAAGGAGAGAAACACCAAGTTTGATAATTTGAGTTAGTGTTGATAGAAACTAGGGAATTAAATTTGTTATTTATTCATTTTTTTATCCATGAATATTATTTTAAATTTATGGGGCACTGACGATAGAGAAAAATAATCTTCATATGGACATGTTTGGGACTTCCAATCAATCAATGACTTGGGAGAGGGAAACTTCAAAAGAGTTTGTTGTTTGACATGCAGTTCTTAATAATATTCAACAGAATCAATTTTTTATATTATAACCAGTATAAATATTATAACGAACCACTTAAAAATTACTGGATCTATATAAATTCAATAATAGTTTTGATAAATAATTCAATGATTTTTTTTCTCCTCATTGATACCTTATCAGCCTGAAAAAACTACAGAAAAATAGCAGTGATTTTCTCTTCATATAACAGAGGCATATTAAAGGCCTCTTCCCAATTGGTATATCCCTACTCTGAGTCTGACCTTTTATTTGAATAACAATATAACCATACACATTGACATATAGAATTAGATGCTCTTTTGATAACAAATATGTTGTGGTGAAATTCTTATTGTATCCACTAATCTGATAATTAGAATTAGACAGGTCAGGGATCTATGCATGGAAACTTTCTTTAAAAGCATGCAGTTTTCCCAAAAAAATCTTATCTTAAGCCTGCTTTTTAAATTCCCAAATCAGCATTTTAAGTAATGTTTCTTCACAAAATCAAGAGGCTAAGGCCTCTTAACAATTAAGCAAGAAAAAACCACTGTTTAACATGGAGCTAAATATACATACATCTGTGTTATTGGGAATCTTCAACTGACAAAAATTTCTGCAATTATCTCAACACTACATACATGTATATACACAACAGAACCGATGACTTTATACAATGTACATTGTATTTCATGGACATCAGTAAATACATTGTCTACTGTGATAATAGGCGTTTATGGATACCAATAAAGTGTCAAAATTATCAATAATAAATGATTGACAGAGAGTAAACACCATGTTGATTGTAACAAATACATGTACAAACACAGCTTGTATGTATATATATTAAAATGACAATAATGCTCATTTTTACTTTGTCAAATTTGGAAAAAAATGTTTTTTTATGCATTTTTTCAGCTACCAATAAGATTAGTCATCATAAATAATGATAGCTAATGAACAGCTTCCACTGTCCAGGTAGAACTATTGAGTGGTGATTTATATGAATATGTTGGATTTAAATGACTTCTGGGAAATCACTTGGCTTGTGGGAATTTTGAACAGCCATTTTAGGAATTTAAACATTGGAAATTTTGATGTCCATTTTCTATTGGGAACAGTACCGTTTTAGGGTAGTAGTAATATAAAGACAAAAAACACTGAACACACAAACCTTTTCTGGATCATCAGGGTTTTTGTCTGGGTGGTATTTTAATGCCATTTTTCTGTATGCCTTTTTAATTTCATCTGGTGTGGCTGTGGGTTTGACGCCCAGCATATCATAGTACCCAGTTTCCTTCACCATCCTTGATTAAATCTAGTTAAAAGAAACAAAAATTTGAATTATTTAGTTCATTGCAAAAACCAACAATTATTATTATCGTTTTCTTCAGGATGCTATCTGTGAAAACCAAAAAATAGTTTAGTAAAATATCATTTTGTCTACCCATTGTTCCAGGTTTCAGTGATTTTTTCCCCTGTATTTTACAGCCAAATAAAGGCTGTTTCCCCTAGCTCAAAAATGGTATATTTACCTACCCCTAAACATAGCTAATATTTTCCCCTGTAATGCCCTGTGCACTTCTTCACCAGAACCATTACTTGACAGCATCTGACTTATTATATATCAGCTAGAAGACAGAAAGCTGTCCCTATAGCCTCTGCTATGTACCATGTATGTTAGATTGTATTGAAATTAAATTTTTTCATAAAATGTGTGGGTGAATTCCATTCTCAGTTGTTGGAATTTGATTTTCCCCTTTTCCGATTAATTGTGCTATATTTTCCCCTTCACAAAGCCACATGTTGTTTTGAAAATTGGAAAAAAATCACTGGTTTTTTCCCTAGTATTTTGGGAACATGGCCCATACCCTTGGGATTGGGTTGTAGCGGTGTTTTGCTAAAAATCGCGAAAAAATGTTTTCAAAATTTCCAGTAATGTTTAATGAAAAACAAAGATTCAATGTCTATCATGGTAACTTTCAATCACAACAAGCTGTCTTCACACTTATATCTCTTGTTCTAATGGATTTAAATTGTTCAATAATACTGCTCCACTCGGCATCTTGTTTCTATGGTTATGAGCACAAATCCTCATGTGAGATTCAAGTGATGTTTGGCTCCTTCTAATACTGCCAGTATTTGCCTGATGATACTTTGTCAACAAGTTTTTTGTGGCCTTTTGCAAATCACATGTCCTTCCAATTACAAGTAAGATGTTCACCTAAATTAGTTACACAATGAAAACTTTGTTTATATCTGTTGATGAGAACAACTTACAAAGTTTGCAACATTATCCCCCCCCCTGCAAAGCTGTAAAACAGCCAGAACTTCTCTCATATTTTCCAGAAACTAAAAATTCTTTGGTCTGGAACTGGCACAGACTCATAGAGGATATTTGTTTTTGTTTTGCATGCAAGATTGAAATATAATTTCACTGAGTTAACACCAGATGTAATATTTTCCCCGAGTGGCGTAGCCACGAGTAAAATTGAATAGCTGGTTTTCACGAATGAAATATATATATAAAACAAACAAATTTTCTTTTTATTTCATGCTTTCCAAGTGATTTTAAGTATTTCTTACTGATTTTGATGTGTAACGTCGAGCATTCTCCTTTGTGACATCATCACATCATCAGTTTTGAAATATAGTTCTGTTAAATTTCGCTAATTTTGTTAACTTTTTAACATGATGTATGATGATACCGATTTTCTTTTCCTAGAGAAGCCAAATTTACGTATGACAGCATTTATTTCTGCCTTTCATTCCATTTAGTTTTGATTTTCTTTTCATCCGCATTCAGATATAGTCCGGCTGCAGTGAAAATTATATTTTATAAATTTCACTAGTGGTTTATCAGAATATAATCATCTGATATACTACAATAAAACACTGGAAAGCATGAAATAAATCAGAGCTATTATTTTCACTGAAGACAGTATTTTCAAATTTCCGCTTCTGTGTCTTTTGAAGATTCGTCATCATGTGAAATTGAATATAAAAGTATGTTCAGTGAAAATAATAGCTCTAATGAGTCTGACACTGAAGCATTCTGTGCCAGTTCCAGACCAAAGAAATTCGGGAGTGAAACATCTGAATTAACCGTTTTAGGAGTGAAATGTCTAGCTTTGTTCAGGTGACGTCTAGGATTTCATGATATTTACGGACAGTCTGTAAATTTATGGACCATCTACAATTTTATAAAAAAATTTATCTGTCGCTAAGGCCCTAAATTTATAGACATTAAATACAAAAATTATAGAAGTTATATTACAAGAGCTATCGGTAGGACAGCAACGCTCGACTATTCTTAGTGCTTGATAGTAAAAAAAAATGCTTGATACAATTACCTCCTCCTGTTGGTTGGGGTAATGATGGTGAACAAGTGTGCAAAGTTTCAAAGCCATATGTCAATGGACTTTGAAAATATTTGAACTATTACCAAAACTTTAACGTAAATTCTAAGTCAAAAAAGGGGCATAATTCTGTCAAAATGCTTGATACAGTTACCTCCTCCTGTCTACAGGTTGGGGTAATGATGGTGAACAAGTGTGCAAAGTTTCAAAGCCATATGTCAATGGTCTTTGAAAATATTTGAACTATTACAAAAACTTTAACGTAAATTTAAGTCGAAAAAGGGGCATAATTCTGTCAAAATGCTTGATACAGTTACCTCCTCCTGTATACAGGTTGGGGTAATGATGGTGAACAAGTGTGCAAAGTTTCAAAGCCATATGTCAATGGACTTTGAAAATATTTGAACTATTACAAAAACTTTAACATAAGTGGTTACGCCGACGCCGACACTGACGCCGACGCTCAGGTGACTACAATAGCTCTACTTATTCTTATCAAATAGTCGAGCTAAAAATTCAAAACCACAGGTTAAAGTTCAAAACCACAGGTTAAAGAGAATGAGGTTACTGATTAGGCTTACAGACACTTCACCCCCCAGACACTTCACCCTAGGCCCTTTTTTGCAGACACTTCACCCCTCAGACAGTTCACCCCTCATTTTAAGAAATTTGATTGAGACACTTCACCCCTCATTTTTTTAATTTTGTGTTAAACAATTATTTATGTAGATTATGTTAAATACATTCAATAGTGATTGAGTATGTTTATTGTTTTAAGCCATTGTCTAATAAATTTTGAGTTGATTTAATTCTTGAAGTTTTGGTTTTGAATTAAGTTTGATTTCAGCTTGATCCTTACCATATAATAATAATTGAGTTACGTTCATTTGGTGATGGTTTGTGCTTTAACCTTGTGCTTAATTTACATAACTGGTGCTATTTATTTGTTTAATAAATTACATTATGAATGATCTTTGTATTAAATGCAGGATAATTGTGTCTGATAATGATGATAAATAATTTATATTTATATTTACTATATTTTATAAAGCAACTGATTCATTCATTCATATCATTTATATTCATTTTATTTATTTATTTATCTATTTAATTTATTTATTAAGAATAAATTTAATTTTCATACAATTATACCATTTTAATTCAATTCTCTAATCAATTGTGAGATAACCGTTGAATAAACAACTAATCAACATGTGGAATAAACAAGGTGACATGCAATTAACACTTAATGGATGAAAGTGCTGTGATATATCATTTGGCAATACAACCAATTAACCTTAATCAGCTTTAAACTTAGTAAAAATAAAGGTAATATGCAAAATTTTTAACCAAATAATACTAAAAATAATTAATATAAACATATATAAGCATTTTGTTGTTGACCAAGTTGTTTTATTTACTTTATAGAACAAAATTGGATGAGGGGTGAAGTGTCTTACTGATTTTGGGGGGTGAAGTGTCTTAAGGGGTGAAGTGTCTTCAAAATTTGAGGGGTGAAGTGTCTGGGGGGTGAGGTGTCTTGCTACCACTGATTATATGATTAAATATAACAGTATTCAGATTCAAAACAATTTACTTTCAGTTTTCCCTTTTAACAAAAATTTGTTTCTAATTACCTTTGTTTATATAAACAATCAATATAACAACTTGTTATAAGCTGCGGATTTTATTCTAAAACTAAAAACAGCAAATTTCTCATTGAATAACAGTAAATTTATGGACTGAAAAATCTTTAAATTTTTAGACTAGGACAGTCATTAAATTTGATGCCTGCTCTACTAATCTGGATTATAATTTGATGCTTTTAAAACCTGCACATAGGTTTGAGCTTGTAATTTTCGATATAAAATACAAAGACGGTCCATTGATTGGTTAGAAAAATCGAAACAAAAACATGGAAATGAATGTCAAACAAAAAAAAATATTTTTCCTGCTCTTAAAGACAGACTTTTCAAGATCAAAACATTTTTTTTTCGCCATTACCTTTTTCTAAATTGTCCACAATAATAGTTTCCGATTGTGTTGCTTTATTCTCCTGTAATTTTGACGTAAAATGATATTTTCTGTTTACAACGTGCGAACTTTCCAGACGTTCGTCGAAACATGCAAATTAGTTGTAACTGGCTTACATACGGGAAAGTTTTCAAATGCGTTGATAGAACGGGAACAAGTAAGAGAGAGTATCCAGAAGAAGGCAAAATTATTGTAGATTCTACTTCCGGTGAATCGATGCGGTAAATTTCGCATGTGAAACGATTTGCTTTAACGATGACTTCGCAACAGCCCCCGAAGCAACAACAGGTAATTTGCAGTGAAATACAGTAGATGGTTTTTAAAATATCATTTTTGGTTGTTTATCGCTTGAGAACACACTGTCGCACATTGAATTGTACATGATTATTTGATTCGTTCTTGCTTCATATCGTACCAACATATGAAAGGTAATATGAAATTAGGTGCTACCTATGGCGCGGAAAGCTGTTATGAATTATGATTTAAGCATAACATATTTAGTGTACATGTAAACTGCTTATCTTTCTTGCTGGTATTTTGTACCGTAAACAAAACAAATAAATTGGTTAGTGTTCAACTTGTCATCAGAGCACTCAGAATATTTAATGTAAAGGCCTTAGGGGGGCCACCGCGCATGCATCGGCATTTGGAAAATCCCAATTGCAACTACTCGGCCCTTTCCGTCCATCTTCGGATAAGGACCTTGAACACAATAGTATGAATACACAGAACGGATGCAGTATTTCGGTCTAACCTATGCTAAGAAACTAATCATGTAAACAAATAGTAATTTAATGCTGGGAGTTCTTGACAAGTTTATTTCCAATATATGTAGTAAAAGTCCACCTAAAATAAGTGAATTCATAGGTACAAAAGCAAACAATACATTATTTATATATTTATTATTATGGTTGTAGAAACCGAAAGTACAAAAAAACCAACCTGTTAGTTGGATTTGTTTAAAATGGGCATATTTAATTTACAAATTGTTGTCAGACATATTTTCAAGCAAAAGAGTACCAGAACAGACATTATATGTCAAATATATACATTTGTTTTACATTATCTCTGTTTATGTTTACAGTTTACATCTGAAACCATGTGGTAGAACTACTTTCAATCCATATTGTTCCGAGGTTGTTATAGATAATAGCGGAGGCAGTTCCGAATGGGAAAATCCCATCCGCCATTTATCAAAGATGTTGTTTTAACGTTATTTTTAAATTTGCTAGTTTATCAAATAATAATCGTAACTTTAGAGAAATGATTCTCCGGCTCTGTGGTCTCGAGCATTATTACTTTGTCTCGGAAATTGGCCTAAAAGTGGTTGTGATTTTCAGTCCTTCACACAGAGGGAACTTTTCAGTGATTTTTTATGCCCCCACAAAGTGGGGAGCATATAGCGTTGCACTTGTCCGTCCGTACGTCCTTCCGAGCAAACATTTTGGGTTAATAGGGGCTATATAACAGTAAAGAGAACAAAAGAGAACATTATAGGTTCATTCTGTGATCATAGGGTTTAGGGGCTAGTAGCCCTTAAGAAAACAAAGAAAATAACAAAGAAAATAGCCCTTAAAGCCAAAAGGTTGGAACGTCCGTACGTACGTCCCAAAATCTTTAGAACGCAACTCTTCTTAAACCGGATGGCAGATTTTGCTTAAACTTCCAGGGATGAACAACCTTAATGTGTAGATGGAAGTAAAGGAAGGAATTTTTGCTGCTACCAAATTTAACAGAATTATGGCCCTTTGTTGATTTTTTCACTATATACCATATAGAAATTTTGTGAACGCAACTCCACTTAAACCGGATGGCAGATTTTAATAAAAAGTTCCACATAAAAATCTTACATACAGATATATGCATGCTCTTGTTTACGAGCACATCTGCACAGTGGGGGCATCCGTGTCCTTTGGTCACAGTTCTAGTTTTGGCTTATATTATTACAGATATTCTATCATATTCCCAATTGAAAATAGTATATTATTTTCCCAATGCACAGTAAAAAACTCCCTTTTGAAAGTTACAAACCAAAAATCTTGAATAACAAATTCTGAAATCTTTGAAAATAAGGGCTTCTTCACTGTTATGGTGCTTAGATGTTTGAAGATGCGGTCCTAGACAGTGATTCTTTGCACTGCAAAATTTAAGTCATGCATTTTTCTCAATTTTTAACAAAACATTCTATGGGTATGGGTCATTTTCCCAAAATCTTGGGAAAAAAACACCCTGCTTTTCTAATGCATTTGCATCTTTCTTTCTTGAACTAAAAATGATAGAATGAGTATTTAGCATTTGTAGTTAAACTTTAACAAACATCATGCATAGATCCTTATGTCTTTAAAGTTATAACAATTTACCTGTACACTGACCTGTTATTATTTTATTTTCATCAACAACTCCTGTCACTTATGTATTTCAGATGGACAAAGGGTCCGGAGATAAAGAGAAGAAGAAGAAGGAAACTATTTTAGATTTATCCAAGTACCTGGAGAAACCGATACGAGTAAAGTTCAGTGGAGGGAGAGAAGGTATACGCTCAAATTTTATAATAGACCGGACTTGCTTTTAGAGCTGTCATGTGGGTTTGAATCCCGACAGTGGACTTTCGATTCTTTCATGTGAGGAAGCTACCCAGCTAGCTTACGGAACGTTGGTGGTTCTACTTGCCTGAAATAATGCACGGAAGGGCACCAGAGGTTTTCCTCCACCAGTAAAGCTGGAACGTTGCCATATGACCTATACTGTTTTGGTGTGACGTAAAACCCAATCAAACAAACTAACAAATTTGGAGCTGTCATCAATGAGGGCAATATCGATGTATCGCTGATATTTTTCTGTCAATCAATAATCGATACACATTAGAAAAAAAAATTGATAATTTTGATAATTTATTTAAATGTCTTTGAATTACGAAAATTCACCCAGAACATAATTATACATTGTACAAAAGCAGGTGGTCATGTCTAACACTAATCTGTTGTTACATAATGGGCACATTTCATAGCAGTGATGACAAAAAATGGTCAGGCAAAAATCATGCAAAGGGTTTTTATAAACAGGACACAACATATTTATATGAACAGAGCATATATTTTATTTAAATCATTGAGACAGGTATGAAAGTCAATTATTTACAAGTAATTACAAATATATGTCAATACATCAGTATATCGCCGATATTTGTCATTCGATATCAATGTATTGTCAATATGCGTTGCGATGAATCAATGACAGCTCTTTTTGCTTTGTATTTGGAATTGTCCAGCTGTGGAATTTACAAGCAGTTAGCAAACTTTCACATTGTTTTTGTGATGTTTGATTCTACTCTATAACTGAAGAATATCAAACAAAATGTTAATGGTATTTGTTATATTTTATTTCAGCAAGCGGTATACTGAAAGGTTATGATCCATTGTTAAATCTCGTATTAGACGACACAACAGAACATTTGAGAGGTAAGATGGGCAGAATAAGTTTATTAGACTTAAGGTTTACACTCGTCTGTTTGTCTGTCCGTGATCTATGTTGTAATAATAGCTGGACACTTACTAGTCCCCTACCGGTTCAATCGGTTACATTTCAGGGGAAAGTACAGCTTTTTTTTAGGGGAAGATATACATACTTTGTGTCAATGGAAACAGCACTTATGAAGTTGTAAAATATAGAAAAGAAGATCCCATTTTATTATTAGGTCAGATTTGAAATTTTCGAATAATTTTCTATGTGTTTTTAAAATTATTAAAAATCATTCAAAATAATGAATTTGTTAACCTGATTTTCAGATTTTTCTACAAAATTATTCATCAAATTATTTGAAATATCCACGGATGGGCTTGATTTGTAACCTTAAGTGCTTGTTTGATCAGTTTAGTAAATATATTTTATAACGTCTAAGCATTCATTGTTCAACAATCAGCCGAAGAAAATGATTTAATTATTATGCTTTATTAGTCCCCTACCGGTTTAACCGGAGGGGACTTTAGGTTTACCCTCCGTCCGTCTGTCCGTCTGTCTGTCCGTCTGTCTGTCTGTCCGTCTGTCTGTCAGTCTGTCAGTCCGTCAGTCCGTCCATCCACAAAACTGGATCCCGTGATAACGCAAAAAGTACTGAAAATATTTTTATGAAACTTGATATATGGATAGATGGCAGTATGGAGATTATGCACGTCTTTTTTTTTTCTTCCTATGTTGAAAATTCTGGTTGCTATGGCAACAAATAGTCTGAAAATATGGCAAATTTAACACATAAACTGGATCCAGTGATAACTCAAAAAGTACTGAAAATATTTTTATGAAACTTGAAATATGGGTAGATGGCAGCCTGGAGATTATGCACATCTTTTTCTTTTCTTCTTATGTTGAAAATTCTGGTTGCTATGGCAACAAATAGCCTGAATTTCAAGATTTCTGATTTAAATTTTCAGCTTTTTTCACTATATGTTCTTTATTCTTAAGGTGTTTACTTCAAACTTTAAATATAAGTTTCTGGTCATCAACCACATCATATGTGACAAAGGTTTATAACTCTAGCACAAAAAATATCAGTATTACCTCCTAGAACTTAGATTTTTTAGGGGAAAAATGTTGTCTTTTTAAATAACTTCTTTATTTCCTAATGTATCTACTTCAAACTTCATTTATATGTTTTTTATTATCACTCGACATTTTTGAGAAGGTTAAATACTCCAGCAAGACTATTTCCAGAATTATGTCCCCCTTGAACTTAGATTTTTTTCGAGAAACTGGTATTTTCACTTCAACTTCTTCATTCCTTATAGGATTTACTTTAAAATCCCACATCGTAGTAATATGACAAGGTTGTATAAACATAATTTATAATATTATTATAAATGGCAATACACAGGAGTGTATGACAATTAAAGAACTTTTTGAGGGACCGGTAGGGGACTACTGTATTGCCCGCAATACTATCAAATGCTTGTTTTTAGCTTGACTATTCAAAGAATAGGTAGAATTATTATACTCAGAAGGTGTAAGTGTCACACTTTGGTTATGTTTTTGCATGCAAGTTTGTATATTAAAAATTCTGAAACTTCACACACATATTTTGAAGCATAATGGGTTTTTACTGAACAAGGCCCATATCTCGAATGTGGATTTTGACAGAATAATGGCCATTTTTAATCGTATTTTATCAAAATTCTACATTATCCACGCTCTTGTTCACTATCAAGCACTGACAATATTCTAGTAAGCTGTCCTACTGACAGCTCTTTTTCATTTCTGGTTGAATTTGTAAACAAATTGATAATATTTTCAAAAAATTATGCTAAAGAAATTGATAATTAGATTAGTAACTAAATGATTATTCATGATTATTAATTAGCTAGTAAACAAATTAATAATTAGAGATACAAATTTATAATTATTTCTGATAATTAAGTAAATAAAATAATAATTATTTTGGATAATAAACTAAAATAAATGATAATTATTTGTGATAATAATCTAAACAAAATGATGTTTATTTTTCAGATCCAGATGACCCCTATAAATTAACTGAGGACACAAGAAGTTTAGGTCTCGTTGTGTGCCGAGGGACGTCTGTTGTGTTAATATGTCCGTCGGACGGAATGGAGGCGATAGCAAATCCTTTCGTGCAGCAGGACGGATGATCGCTATGGCAACATTGTGTTGTTGTTGTTGTTGTGTATATAATGTAAAGACTGGAGAGTTTATATGATAATTCTTCAACTGAAGTGATGAATTTTTTAAAATAAAAAGCAAAAGAATAGGTATGTTCAGAAACAAGGGAAAGAAGAACTGAATGACTGAAATATTGCCGCAAAGTTGAGCAATGTACCGTTGAAGAGTATCAGTGTTTAACGGTTAAAAAGAATTGTCATAGCTCTTAAAAAGCAATTTTTTGTGCTCGCAATGTTTGTTACGTATAATTTACATAAAAGTATCTATACAATTCAATTGCAACCTATCTTCGCATACAAAATTACATGAAATGCATTATATTCTTCTCATTGTTTATATTTCATAGTTGAAAGTCTTCAGTTTGGCTGCTGGTACAAAAAAATATATATTCAATATAGATCTAAATGTTAGAGGAATTGTTTAGTATCATTTTTACGAAACCTGGTATACAGTGGTTTATAGAAATATATCAGTGAAATATAAAACTGATATTTCACTGTTATGAATTTAAACCCGTTACGTTGTTTCACTGAAATACCAGCATGCACAGTACTGGAAACCAACTTAATAACGTGACGTTGTAAATACAATATGTTGTATTTTTATTTGGCGCGCTTTTCATTTAGTATAGATTAAAATGTCTTTAAATGTTTCTTTGCATATAATAAAAGGAAAATTGGTTTAAGTATAAGATGGAAATGATTATTTCACCTAGTGAACACCAAAAGTTTGTATAATTTTACTCGTGACTGCACCACTCGCGAAATATACCTTTTTGCTGCTCACTCGGTGAAATATATTCCGATCTTACACTTACTAAACAAATATCCTGTATCATAGCCCATGCCCTTTTGTCATTTTATGAGGAATGGTCAGTTAGTTATGTAAAAATTTTTGTCAAGAGACGTAATTTTAACTTTGATGGACCTTGAATATATTACAATTAACATTTCCAAAAAAATCAAGAGCTGAAATTTCGATTGCATTCATCACTTGTCATATTGGTTTCAGTGAATTTGATAATTTGAATATAAATTTGCATACTTGCAGTTTAATGGCATGAGTCTGAAGATTGTAATTTTTACATTGAATTACGTTGAATAAAGTTCAATTGACATAACTCTAAATATTTCATTATATTTCAAAAGATGACCATTACTGTAAGAGTTACTGTGCTTTGATATTATTCCATTTTTGTTGACTATTATTTTGAAGGGAAAGATAGCAAATTCATTTTCATTCATATTGGAAGGTTCATTATGTCAGTGATTCAATCACATTAATTGTAACATACATGTACATGTACTTATTTCCTTGTATTTACTATAAAACATTTTGAATAAATTACATGCTGTAAACATTATAGACTTTAAACATTTATGTGCAGTAAACATTTGTCAATGGAGCGTCTGTTGTCCAGTGGTTAAGGTCACTGATTCCAAACCACTTGCCACTCATAACTGTGGGTTCGAATCCAGACTGGGACTTGGATCCTTTCATGTGAGAAGGTTAACCAGCTAGCTTATTGAACGTCAGCGGTTCTACTCAGATGCCCACTAGTGCTTGAAATGCGGCACAGAACAGTAATTGAGGTCTTCTCTCACAAGTAAAGCTAGATATGTTGTTATGCCACCGCAGCATCTGCGATGCGGTGGCATATAGCGATTCACCTGTGTGTGTGTGTGTTTGTTTGTTTGTTTGTGTGTGTGTGTGTTATATAGATTATATAGTGAACTTAAAAAGTCTTCTTGTGAAAAACCACTTGTCAAATTTCAACCAAACTTGGCAGGATTGTTCCTTGGGTGAAGGGCTTCCAAAGTTGTTCAAAGAATTTCATTCCATGCAGAAATCTGGTTGCCATGGCAACCAAAAGGAATTATAAGAATAAATTTAAAAAATCTTCTTGTAAAGACCCAAAAGGCCTAGAGCTTAGATATTTTGCATAAGGCATTGTCTGGTAGACCTCTAACAAGATTGTTCAAATTATAGCCCTGGGGTCAAAATTGGCCCCGCCCCGGGGGTCATTGATTTTCACTATGTACATATAGTAAAAAACTTAAAATACCGTCTTGTAAAAACCCAAAAGGCCTAGAGCTTAGATATTTTGCATAAGACATCATCTGGTAGACCTTACCAAGATTGTTCAAATTATAGCCCTTGGGTCAAAATCGGCCCCGCCCCGGGGTCATTGATTTTCGCTATATGTACATATAGTAAAAACTAAAAACACCTTGTAAAGACCAAAAGGCTAGAGCTTAGATATTTTGCATAAGGCATTGTCTGGTAGACCTCTACCCAGATTGTTCAAATTATAGCCCTGGGGTCAAAATCAACCCCGTCCCAGGGGTCATTGGTTTTCCTTATATGTATATAGTAAAAACTTAAAAAAAATTCTTCTAGCAATTGACAAATGCTAGAGGTAAGATATTCTGCATGAAACAATGTGTTGTAAACCTCTAGCAAGATTGTTCAAATTATAGCCCTGGGGTCAAAATTACCCCCGCCCTGGGGGTCATTGATTTCAATATATACATATAGTGAAAAATAAAAAAATCTTATTGTCTGAAGGTACAAGGCTTAGATCTAGCTTTGATATTTGTTAAATAATATCATCATATGAAAGGTACTCTACCAAAGATGTTCAAATTTTGCCTCTTGTGTCAAAATAAGCCCCGCCCCTGGGAGCCATAGGTTTATCTTATATGTATATAGTTAAAACTTAAAAAATCATCTTCTCTAAATTGACAAAGGATAGAGTTAAGATATTTTGCATGAAACATTATGTAGTGAACCTCTAGCAAGATTGTTCAAATTATAGCCCTGGGGTCAAAATTGGTTCCGCCCCGGGGGTCATTGATTTTCATTATGTACATATAGTGAAAAAAAAAATTGGTCTGAAGGTTCAAGGCATAGAGCTTTGATGTTTGATATATAATATCATCTATAGGTCCTCTACCAAAGTTGTTCAAATGTCAAAAATTGGCCCTGCCCGGGGGCAGTGATTCTCATTATGTACACGTAGTAAAAACAGAAAATAAAACAAATGTTTTCTGAATGGGAGAAAGCTATAGCTTAGATATTTGACTTGAAATGTTGTTTGGTGGACCTGTATCAAGATTGTTATTAAACCCTTGGGTCAAAATTACGCCTTGCCCAAGGGGACAGTGACCTACTTTCTTGTCCTTTGATGTACAGCAATGACATTTTGACCATGTGCACAGTTTTAGTTGTAAAATTGAACTTTGACCTAGATTTTGATGATGTGACCTACTTTCTTGTCCTTTGATGTACAGCTATGAAATTTGAACCATGCGGTGGCATAGCATTTTTCTCAAATGCAATCTTGTTATGGTAGTCTTACTGTAAAGCTTTTTGGCCAAAAAATTCTAACATCGTCCAATATCGTGCAAATCGGTTATTTCCGGAACATTATTTTTTCGAAATATTGAGCATTAAATTATTTACAATTACTCATCCATTATCCTTTTATACTGATTTTCGGTTATAAAGGGTTAAAAATTATTGAATACTGAAGATTGTGAAAAATAATGTTCCAGAAATGACTTACTACGATATTGGCCTATGTTAGAAACTTTTTGATGGGAAAGCTGTACAGTAAGACTTCTTAATACTGTAAATGTTATTGATGGAGTAAACTCAGTGCCTTGAATATATTTCCTCATTTAAACATCAAGTTGTCATTAACATTAACAGGAAATTTTAGGCATGCTGTTTTGAATACCTTGAATTAATAATGGACAACACATAAAAGTACATGAATGTCCATTTTGAAAGTTTATTGGTGTAATGATTGGGTATCAAATCTTAAAAATATTATTAAATATTATCTTCAAAAATAACTGTGAACATTACTCAGTTACATGATACATTACTGGAGAATAAATCATGAAAATCCTGATCATGTGTTCTTTTTAATGTTTTTATTTGTAAAGGCCCATTGTGCCCCCAAAAATGCTTTCAAGCTTTTTATATGCCCAAAAGATTTTTGGCGCATATTGTCTGTCCGTCAGGTTTTCTTGACCAGTCTGTATTTTTTGAACCAGTGGAAGGAAATTTAAACTTCTTGGCAGAAATGTTAACCATAATGAGACGATGTGCAGAGTGCAGGATTGACCTTTTTGAGGTCAAGGTCACACTTGGTCATTTTGTTTCAATATCAAATTTTGTGTCAGCTCTGTATCTTTTGAACCGATTGAAAGAAATCAAAACTTTTTGGCACAAATATTACTTATATTGAGACGGTGTGCAGAACTAAAGTTTGGACTGCGTATGTTCAAAGTTGGCCCCGCCCTGGGGATTAACTGATTTACAATTAGGAGTATGTATGGGAGGTTTTCGAACTGTTGGAAAGAAATCAAAACTTTTTGGCGGAAATATCACTTATTTTAAGATGGTGTAAAGAACACAAGCTTGGCCTTCCTAAGATCAAAATTGCGCCGTCCCGGAGATTAATTGATTTATATAGACTTACATAGGAGTTTTCGTGTCCTGTCTGTACCGTTGGAAAGATATTGAAACTACTTGGCAGAAATGTTAACCATAATAAAATGTGTGCAGAGGGCAGGTTTGGCCTTTCTCAGGTCAAGGTTACACTTGGTCATTTTGTAACAATTTCAAAATTTTAAATCCGTTCTGTTTCTTTTAAACTGATAGTATTGAATTAAATCTATTTGGCAGAAATATTTATATTTCTCAGATGATGTGCAGAGCGCAGTTTTGGACAGTAACCTAAGATCAAGGTCACACTGACTCATGTAAGTAGCTGTAGCTTTAATTAGAAAATAAAATGTTGTAATTATACATGTTGCTGTTTGACTCTTTCCATCAGAAAAAGTATTACATTTGCTTTTAAATACTTGACTTTATTTTGGTGAAAGAAATTAGTTGATTGCAGATCTTTCACTTAACTGATAGCCTTCCCTGGAAACCACACTCTATGTTTTGCATTTCTTTATTAAATATATCCCTTCCCCCAATAAAATGTTACCACTGTCTGTTTTAGTGTAGGAGCGTGTTTGAAACAAGGAGTAATATGTTGTATAATAGTATACATTATAACAGATAACCAGTTCAAAACTTTGGCATGATTGGATTTCAAATTTAAACATTTGACATACATAAGTAAACAATGTGTTTGTTTGATTGGGTTTTACGTCACACCGGCACAGTATTGTACAAATAAAAGGTCATATGGCGACATTCCAGCTTTACTGGTGGATTATTTCAGGCACGAACAGGCACCTGATTAGAACCACCGACGTTCTGTAAGCTAGCTTGATAGCTCCCTCACATGAAAGAATCCAAAGTCCCTGTCTGGATTTGAACCCACAGCGGTAAGGGCAAGTGGTTTGAAGTCATCATCCTTAACCACTCATCCACGGAGGGCCCTAGACAATGTGTAGCAGAGGTTCAAGGTTAAGCAGGGTATTAAACTTGGCAAACTTGTATTAAACTTGGCAAACTTAAGTGCAGTTCGGGTTCTTGTCCAATTCATAACTTCTGCATAGAAGACTTCATTAGTGATTACCCTTTCAGATTTTTCCCCCTTTTTGATTGGATATAAAACCCGCTGAAAGAAATTGATATTATCGAGCCAGACAATGCAAAATACACATCAAATATCCCCTTTTGGGTACCCCTATGTTGTAAACAATATGTCACAATGTGCATACGGTTCAATTTTCTGCTATGGTGATGTCATTTTGCAATGAAGGGTTACCCTAAAGGGAATCTTATTTCGATGTTTAATTAAAACAGCATTGATATATTTTAAAATAGTCTTACTCTGCAGGGGATAAGTAATAAGTTTATTATGTTAACATTTTAGAGATATATATGGATATATAACCTGGCAAGACAAAATACCACCCAATCGCTTTCCCACTCGGGTAATATAAAACCAAAATAACATATAATATGCACACAAGTTTTATTGCTTGATGTGGAACACATTGAAATTACAAATTATCTCACTTTAAGGCACTTTTATTTATATCATATACTTCACAAGCAAACCAATATTTTCTCAAAATTATGTGTAAA